AGAGGCATATGTTAGGCTAACCTAAAACTTATTGATATATATATATATATATATATATATATGCATACTATACTATAGTTGCAGTAATTCTAAACTAGTCTCAACTAAAAAAAAAGCATTTAGTCTGCAAGAGACTCTACAGTTTAATTTTTAGATTCTAACTCAAAATAAATAGTAGATAGTCATAATGAAATATATCACTGCAAGGACACCAGTTAAAAAGCACATAGAAATATGATATACTACAGCTCTCATGATGCAAAATCTGTTCTCTCAGTTTTTAGGGAAAGTTTAAAAAGTGTAAGAAAAGTTAAAATGTATAACAGAATGTTCAGTACCTTTTATGCCATTATTCAAGACTTTTGTCATTTTCTGTCAATGTATAGATTTAGACTGATATATTAGTAGTCAAATTGTTATTCAGTGTTAAAATATGGGTAGGTTCAAACTGAAATTGTTTCACTCAAAAATGAGATTTTTTGACCAAAATCATTTCAACCCAAAACCAAAAGCAGCTTTGTAATCAAATCGAACTTGAAAAATCTTTTTTGAGCACTACTAAACAAATTTTCTTCATTGGAACAAAAGTAGATTTATAATTTCATTAGGAATACTTAGACTCAAATGAACTATTAGCTTCATGTTCTGTCAAAACATCCCGATTTCATTCCCATTACTCTAAAACTGAAACTCAATATTGTTTAATGTTCTAACAAAGATAATAAGCCGTGTGGAAAATACTTTCTTGTACCAAGAGATAATATTAATTATTCATATTGTGATATTGTAAAATGTAGTGTCATAAGAAGCATTGCCATACATGAACTACAGCATCGTTTATTATAAAAAATGCTCGATGAAAATTGTCATTTACAGGAATTTATAGTGAAAATTAGCTATTTTAGGCCAAACTACAAGACTATAGGTAGAGCTTAAAAATATATGGCTAACTATAATTAACTATACAAAACAAAAAATTTAGAAAAGTTCAAAACTATGAAACGTAAATTTCTGAAGAACATCAAATTGGTTATTTCTCAGATATATGACAAATTAAAAGTCAGCCAATAAGTAAATTATTTATTTTTCTGTAGACACCTTAATCCAGATCTAAAGATCCCTACTCATTTTTCTATGACATCTTTTTTCCCCTAGAACTCAAATGCTCTGTACATTTACAATTAAATTATCCACCAAAATCATGTAAATATAAATAAATGTATAAAAACTTTTAACTCATCATTAAGCTTCAAAGTTTTGCATTAAATGAGAGTGACATTACTTTATATAAACAGACATGTGTTATTAACTGAACAATAAAAGTACAGTAAGGAAAAAGCAAAAACAGACACTCAAACTGGCAAAAATATCATTAGCATGAACCAGCAAAATCTGTCCACTATACAATACAAATAAATATATATATATATATATATATATATATAAAAAACAAAGTTCACAGAAAAAAAAGTAAACAGATATTACATCTGCAGTGTAACAAGCATGATTTTATCGAAATTAGAGTTATGGAGTTACAATAAGAAACATTTATATACGTGAAAATATGCTAAAAAAATTAAATTAGTTATTATACAAAAAATATTAAGCATAAATCACTCATTCATCAAGTTCAGTTCATAACTAGCACTTTTTTATTATTTATTTCTAGTACTTTGAGAAGTTTAAGTTTTAGGTATGACAAATTTGTTATTGATAAATGATCACCTAGAAGATGTAAAGTTAACTATCAAGGGTGGAAACGAAATAAATACATTAGTTTCTAAATTTGCTATTAAGTGGTATGGGAAGTCTAGGCCAGTTATCACTAGAACTGAAATTCATACATTGAGAATTAGAGACGGTTTAAAAAAATATCAATTGACAACATGGTCGTAATGTCCGACTACTACCTCACTTTGTAAAACAGTTCCAATGTGAGGCAATAGTTTAATATACTGTATTTCACATGGCATATGTCTCAAACTGAATTCTTAATATTTTAATCAAGTTCTTGTAGTTAAAGGAATTTCTTGTTAAATAACGATGACTGTAGATTACAATGGCTGTACCTCTAGGATACCTTATGAAATGAAGAAAATTTTGCAAGTTATATAATAAAAATGTTTGTAATGACTGGTTATTTAAGAGTTTTAACAAAATAAGGGAAGTACACTGATAACAGAAAAACACTGTTAAAACATTACAAGAATGATGCAACATTTTTATAGCACTATTAACATTCAATCACAACAAGCTACCTGCTTGTAGTGAAACTAAATATTAATCTGGTAGCAGGAATAATTCATTTAACAAGCTTCTCTTACATTTTTACTTATGAAGTTTGTAATTCATTGTTTAATCAGTTGGGTACCCTCACTGTTGACTATATTTACAGCCATGTTTACGTTTCTTTATCTTCAATTACAGTACTTTAAGTAAACCAAGTGATATTTTTCAGCACTTTATTCATTAGTTGTACATTAAAAATTGATAATAGCTATTATTTTTCATTTCTTCAAAATCTTCTAATAATAATATATGTATGGAGAATGACTATCCTATTTCTAGTACTTCACAAAATCATGTTTTATGTATATTTGGTCACTTCCTTTAAGTACTGCTTGATTAGCATTTTGACTTCTGTATATTTTTACATTATGTTCATGTTTTTCATGATAAATCTTTACAGACTGAAACATATGAAAAACCGATTCTCAAAGAAACATTCCTACTTGGTCAACTGTATGACACTGAAAATTATTAATTGTGATGGTGTAAAGGCAGTGAATTTTATCATGAATTTTGGGGTCTTCTCTTTAGACTGTCTTCTTGGTTTGGGCTTTGTAAACCTGCTGAGCTGAAGAAGCTTTAATTTGGGTATTTTCAAAACTGAAATATGCCGTGGGTTATTACAGAATTGTAGCCAAAGGTTCCGACTGGACAAAATTTGGTGATGTTACATCAATGTGATTCTTTGACAACCAAGTGCCAGCAATACCAAGCATAGGGCATATGTATATCTGATTCAATTTTATTACTCATCACAATCTCTACCAACCTAATCTCAAATCTAAGTATATTTCCCAAAGTAGCGTGTTGTCCGTTTTATATATGTGTGTGTGACTGAAAGACTAACTTGTTTTTCATAGCAGAAAGTGCCGTCGTTCTGTGCAAGTTGCATGTTGATCAGTACCACAATGACTGAGATATCGGTGTAACAGATGGATGGCTTTTTGTCTTTATATAGTAAATTATAAATGATAGAAAATGATTTAAATTACTTCAAAATTTTATGAATTATACCCTTCAATAATTTATTTGATAATCAAGTGTTTTCAAATTTATTTTTATTTTAATCTTAATTCTTACATTTTGAGGTTCTATTCACTGCATCTCCATAAAGAGAAATAAAGAATGTGAAGTATAACATATATTTTTCCATCTACTTTCTTTACAAGTGAGCCAACAAAAACAACAGATTACATTAGCTTGCCAGTTTCTGTAATCTAGAAATTTAATTGCTAGTGTCACTGTACATAATATTCCTGGGTTCTATTATTAAACTTCTTAATGATGGTCTTACAATTCATCTAGTTATAAAAGATTCTTGAGAAGATTATCTGTCTGCTTTTCAACCAATTAAGGGTGCAGGCTTTTATTGCATAGCTGTGTATAGAAAATTAAAATTCAGTTTTTTATCATGCTTTTAGTAATTACTGTGTTAATATAAGGAACTTAAGAAAAGTTAAACCCCTTTCTAAATTAAAGATTTTTTTTTCTACAAAAAGTTACATTAATATTTAATTAAAAGACTTAATACTTGAAACTCACTCTGGAAAGAGCCATGCACATGAATGTCATAGGCAAGTGCAGCACTCACAACAAACATGAAAAACATTAACAGCCTTCTCCATGGGAAACTTCGTGCAGTCATTTTTGCAAAAAGTTCCTAGAAAATCATATAAAAGCACAAACTTGTAGCAAGATCCTATCGACTTTACAGTTTTAAAATCAACAAAACCAATCTTCAATGTTAATTTCTAAGAATGGAAAAAAAGCATCTTTATATATATATATATATATATATATGCACATATATCATCAAAATTAATGACAGTTTTTAACACATAATTGGAAAACTAAATTTTGAAAATATTACTGCATGAATAGAAAATATTACTGAGTAAATAGAAAATAATCCTGTTCAATGTATATAGCTTATTATTCTTGGAAAAAATTTCAGATACACGTTTTAAAAAATATTTTGTTCAAAAATTAAGTTACAATTGTAAAAAATAAATTCAACTTAGGTTTTGTTAAATATTAAACTAGTTACAGGTACCTATGAATATTCAATGTTTCTGTCTTTGCTTGCAATCAAAATAAATCAGAACATAAACAAGAGGTTAAAATAATTGAAAGAATCAAAATATTGGCTTATTCCCGATTCAAACAATAATAAACTGAATTACGTTGAATATTAAAATCAAAATACTATAAATATATTTCAAGACAAATACAACACAAGACTTGTCACAATTCAACTCGTATCTATATTTTAGATAAATACCATACTTTTCGGAATATAAGACCCACCCTTATTTTGAAGACAAAGTTTTGAGGAAAAAAGCTACAGTCACATTTGAAAGATTTTTATTGAACAAAAATTCAATTTGATACTTTAAAAATTAGTATATATTGTTCTAAATACAAAAGAGCTCAAAACATCAAAATAATAAAATACTGTAAATCAAAAAAATGTTTACTGTTATTTAGTTTGGTTCAAACCTATAAAATCTTCATTGCTTTCACTGTAATTTATTTTTTTATTATTTAGGGAGCATTATAAATAGTCATGCTTTTAAAAGAAGAAAACTACAATTGTTATAAATAATACATTCAATTAAACTAAACTATGCATGCCTAGTTAAATATATTTACACATGGCTTGTGTATATCATAAATATACATATATATATATATATATTATACACACCTTCAGTGTATAGAATGCAAGCAGATTTTGACATCAAATTTTGGGGTAAAAAAAGTGCATCTTATACACCAAAAAATACGGTAATCTAAAAAATATTCAAGAATCTTCTTTCTGTTTTTATTGGTTAACTCAGTAGAATTTTCTCTATTACTGACTTTTATACCAACTAATTTTACCTCTAACTTTATCTTCAACAACACAGAAAAACTATAAAATTCATTATTAGCTTACTGGTTGCACAAAAAGAGTAATATTTACAAAGAATTTTAACTTATGGTGCATTAAATTAATGCTAGACACTACCAAATACCACTGATAAGAATCCATGCCCTTCCAATATTAACTAAATGTATTTCTAATCACTGAAAAAACATCACATATTAATCAGATTTGTTAAATGAGATGAGAATATAGTCTCAAGACCAATTAAACAAAAACAAGTTATAACCCTCTTATAAGAATCCATAATTGATTTAATCTACATAAAACAGCAAAAACAAATTTCAAAGCAAAATGTTACAACATTTTCATATATATATTGAATGTAAAGTTTAAGATAGAGCAAAGCCACATTGGACTATATGCTGTGACCACCATGGGGAGTCGAACCCCAGGATTTAGAGTTTTAAGTCCATAAACTTACCACTGTCCCCACATCACGTCTCCCTGTTTGTCATTAACAAGCATAATTAAATTTACAACTTATAATACTGTGTGTCAAAATTTTAATATATTTATATATATATATATGTCAGAAAAACATTAACCTTTATCAACAGTAAACGTAAAACATGCAAACATTTCAAAAGATTAATACAAGTAGTATTACTTTTTATCGGCACACAAGATTGACAATCAAAAAATGCTGTGGAACCATAGATATATGATGAAACAGAAGAAAATATACTCAATTTTATTTAGTCTCAAAACATCACGTGAAAATAAATAAGTACGCATACGTACATAACTCACGTACAACTACATCTGGCATTTGTTTCCTTTTCCAAACAGCTTTCTCGCTTTATCATTTAGTAATACCACTACGAGGTTTTCTACCAAAGCAATTGTCGCGAGGTTTCTTGGGGAGTACGAGTGCAGTCAAATCCATTTGCTCAAAACGGAAATGAGGCGAGTGAGAGAGAAACTTGCGTGGGTTTATAAATTCAATTAATATGAAAATTAAGAAAGAATAATGCTTTGAATACATTTTGTACCCCACGGCGCAACTCAAAACAACGAAATGTAAAATAAAATTTAAAAATGTGCAACAACATTATTCGTAAAAGAAATATATATTAATCAAGAATAAAACCGTGAAATGAGTATCGATTACATTGAAATTTACAGGATATCATCTTACACAAAATAGTTATGGTAAAACTATTTACTCAGTTATAAAACTTGTTAGTAAACGTTCGTAAACACGGAACACCGTGTAATCTAAAATAAGGCTTTGATCCACTATAACGGAACAATAAATTTATATGTAAACAAGTTTCTAGAGTTGAACGCGTCTTCTTTAGTTGGGCAAAGGATGGTCGACACGCAAAAAATGTCTGAATTCTTTCACTATAAACTTATGTAATAGTGGATTTAAATTGTATTTTAGGGTTATAATAAGCACTGACGTTTAGCCAATTGGCATAATTACAAACACACTGACTACGTATGTTCCATTAGTAAATTTGTGGAGTATTGTCTTTCTTGAAACAAAAGCATCCAAAACTATTTCACGTAATGTATGAATTTGTTGAACCGCGAACTTCTCCCACAGTTTAGGTGTTAGCGAAACCATACATCGCAGGCAGCCTCGGAGTGGTTCGAAGGATTGTTTTTTTGCTTGTAATTAAACACAAAGCTACACAATGGGCTATATGTGCTCTGCCCACCACGGGTATCGAAACCCGGATTCTAGCGTTGTAAGTCCGCAGACATGCCGCTGTGCCACTGGGGGGCTGTTCGAAGGATGATTTTATTTGGAGTGCCATAAACAATGGGGGATAAAACGCGCTGGGAGGTCACTCAAACATGATGCCAGTATAGGGGCAGGTTTTCAGGGTCGCTGAACCCAAATCTGGCATTGGATTTTGTGTTCCTGGCCCCCTATAGGTACCAGGGGCGCCAAGTTTCAAACTGTATTCATATCCCTACTCACAAGCTAGCAGGATCGAAAAGTGGCATACGTGCTCTGGAACTAGGGGCCGATGTCCTAACGGGATTTTTTGGGGGTAGCTATAAACGTAGTTGAGGATAATAAAGAAACATGATCGATTTACCAGGACTACTGTGAATCACGAGGGGATCTATGAAACCTGCAGCGAATCGTGGGCAGTTTATGCTAGTTTGTATTCAAGGACAGTAATTTTACTCTAAGCGCAATAAAATCTATATGCAAGGAATCAATAAAATACGAGATTATCTCAGTAATCGCTATTAATTCTATTTATGTTAAATACAATAAATTTCGGATTAATCTGAATAAACGGTAACAATCTAGCTTAATAAAATGCTGAGTATTTAATAATTCTTATGCTTATTCGAGGGGAAAACATTAGCAATATAAAATGTCGGTTTATTGAAATGTTTGTATGTGGAAACAACAATAGTTGTAAAAAATAAGGAAGAATGCCAGCCATTTTTGTGAGGAACGTACTAACTGTAAAAAGTTTTGAATAATTAATTATTAACCTACTAACATATGAAAAATACTCGTTGTAAAAATGCTGAATTATAAGTAACATTATTTTGGTAGAAACATTACTACCTATCAAATAGCATCCAGGTATTCCCACACGGAATGTAGAAAATAACTTCCTATGTACTTAGAATGAAACTAAAAATCAACCTGATCATCAGTATAGCAAAGGAAATATACTTTTCTTACGTTTTTGCTTATAAAGATTATAATAAACTCTTAACGATATTTTCAGTCGTGAAACTAGTAACATCTAACGAGGTTAGCTTAGCTTAGGAGACTTAGATGAGTCCTGAATATATATATATTAATGTAAAATAAATTTTATCTTATATGTATTGCGAACCATGTTGTCTTGTCCGAGCGTTCGTCTGTCTCCCGTTTGAAAAGTTGCGCACGCAGGCAAAGCTCAACATTCACTTTTGAAATGACGAGAGAATAGGCATAAATAATGTTGATGCCAAATTTCATTTCACATGCATGATATTCCATATTAAATTGTTAGGAATTAATCAAACTGTCATTCACATTTCAAAATGTGACGTAACTTTAAAAGAATAAAAATGTAGGTTTAGGATATATTATTGTTGAGCGGCTCTTAGCATGACTGAAATGTTCAACAATTACTTTTCGCGGTGAGCGGTATAAGTAGCTTCAGAGCTTTCGCTCTGAGTGAAACCAAGAGTGCAACACAATTAACCTTTTTAAAGTTCGTGAAATAATTTAAACTGATAGATTAAATTAAACGGTTCCCATCACTGGGGACGGGTACTTTTGTAATAACAACATAAACACTAAATCAAAATGATAAGTAACGAAACTATATATACTATGAGCAATACTGTCAAAGTAACGAATAAAGAATATAGTACACTTATACAACAAAGAAATGCTGGTTGTCAGGTTTAACTAATATCACAGACCTAAGCTTCTTTGGAAAACGTAGAATCAGTATAACATAACCGTATTTTCTCTACTTCCCCTAGCATGTTTTTTGACCAAAGAGAACTCATTACGCCACCCCTACTATATAACACCAGAAGGGATATTTGTGATGATTTATGAGACGCGTCACTGTTTAAGCTGTGTTGAGTCAGTAGCAGTATTTTCCCATAATACACCAATCACTAATACTTACGAAGATCAAAAATTACAAAAATAGCAACTGAACTTTTCATGAAAGTATAACAACATTAAATCTAATACAAAGAAAACAACATACTAAACATAATATGTAGTGTGTTTAAAAACTTTATCA